GTGAGGTTACAGAGACCTCCAGGAACAGCCTACCTTTGGCTGCTGCGTCCTGGGGTCCAGGATGTATTCCCAGTCCTTGCCATTTAGGCTGTAGGAGACTTTGAATTTGCGCACAAATGCCCTGGCTTCTACTGCGGTGATGCTGTCTCCTCCGCGAGCTCCCTGGATGATGACACCCTTCACGTTCTTGGGTGTTCCTAGGTCTACCTGAAGCCACTCCTCGCCTGGCTGGGCCTGAGGGATGCGGGGGAACCAGCCAGAGCGGCTGCTGACCAGGCGGGCAGTGCTGGGGCTCCACAGGTACTCGCGGGTGGAGGAGGCGGAGATCTGGGTGTCTGAGATGAGGCCTGAGAGCATCCCCAGCATGTTGGAGCAGGGGGCATCTGTGGAGAGAGGAGGAAGATGCAAGTGGTCATGGCTGATACCCACTAATCCGAGACCACACCCCTCTAGTAGGGAGCTGCAGAAGAACCCAGATATCAGACGCTTTAAGTCAACACTGATTTCTTTGCATATCGAAGTTACCTAGCATTGCGGTTAAGAGCCCAGACTTGGAGCCAGGCTGTCTGTGTTCATGTTGACTATGCCACTCATTAGTTGGATAACCTGGGGAAAATTACTTAATTGTTCTGTACCTCAGTGTCCCCAGATCTAAAAGCCATTTGCAGTACCTACCTGCTAGGTTTCTGTTAGTTACTAGGTAATAGCTCCTGGGACAGTGCGTGGTATATCTAAACATCTAACAGGTGACAGCTGTTTGTACTTACAGCGTCAACCAAAGACTCTCAGAATGTGTGTCTGTACATCCTCGTCAAAGACACCAGTTCCCACCGACCCTCTCAGGGACAGTGAGCCCAGAAGAGCTCAGCGAAGATCCCTGGTGGGAAGTGTTGCTAGGTCAATCAAAACTTTACAGCCACCGTGTCTCCACTGCTCTTTACTGCCTTGGGTCCTCCTCACACCACATGCTGTTCCTGCCAGCCAAATGCTCTTCCCTTCAGTCATCCCCAGACTAACTTCTGCTCACCCCAGATTAAGTGCCACATTTTCAGAAAGGCTGTGCCCAGATTTTTAATCCAGGCTATACTAGGTCCCCTCAGTCATTCGACAGCACCCTGTCCTTTTCCTCCAGACACACATCTTAGCTTATAATTATCCAGGACTTGTATTTATCATCTTTCTTACCCACTAGCTTGAAAGTTCCTAAAAGTTCCACCATGTCAGAGATCCCATCTGTTTTGTTCACTTCTCTATCTCTGATTCCCAGTGTGGGGCCTTACACACAGTGTTAGTGGAGTGAATGAGTGAATGAGTGAAGAATGTAGGACTCAATGGCATCTGAGAAGGCAGGGTCTATAGAAAGTGTGCATTAAATCCTTGTAAGCTGAGCTATAGATACAAACAGATTCTCCAGGTTGTATCCCTCTTCAAATTCACTGTTTCTTTCTTCTTGATCTTCCAGAATATGAAGTTGTTTTGTTTTAATTGCAGATTAAAATGAGGGCACAAATGTTTAGGTTACATTGCTTTCAATTCTAAGGTAAAGTTCAAGCCCTCCCTCCTCCTGCCAATTGTCCTTCCTCCTCCCCCTTCCTCTTCCTCCCTCCCTCTTACTAGACTATACTTGTCTTTTCAGAAAATGAGTTTTAACTAAATCCTTGCTGATTACCCTTGACCAGAACAGCAGCACAGAAGGGCTAGAAGACAGTCCCCTAAGTGGGATTTGGATGAACCAATTTTGTAAGAGGGAAACCAGGTCTTGGTGTAAAGGGGATAAGAGAAAGGAATTTGTATTGAGAGAATGTGGGGTCTGTTCCTGGCTCTCCAGGAACTGGGTGACTGGTTGGGTGACTCCTGGGAAAGCTGTTTAGCCTCTGTGAGTCTCGGTTTCCTCATCGGTTCCTATCCCACTGACCTCATGGGGTTGTTAGAAAGAGTAGACAACATGATGCCCTAGAAAAATGCGAAGGATGCAGGGAGTGTGCAAATGTCAGTGTTTAACCAGAAGCTGCCAACAAGGTCGCCTGCAGAGCATCCCTATTGGAGCTGGAATGACTGTGGGGAAAGCAGGGGAAGGATGTACACTGAAGACCCTTCCAGGTCAAAGAAACGACTCTCCAGCCTTGGGCTGAGACCACAAGACAGAGGGGATTGGACCATCCACAAATGTCGGGGGCTAGTCTGGTCACCCTCATCTCTACCCATACCACTGCACCAACCTCTACAGGGGCCCCAACTCCCACTCTGGTCCTCTCCAATCTGTACCCTTTGGGTTTCAGCCCATATACTGTGCCCACACCCCCTCACTTTTTCTTTATT